AAATTCAATCAAGTAGTTTGTCGAAAAATAATGTCAGCGTCATATACAATGTAAAACATATTTAAATAATAAGATGATTTCAAGAATAGTTCATTCAGAATCGTACAAAAACATGTTTGACGTTTTAATCGTACAAAATATGCATGAATAAAGTTGTGAAGAGTCGTTTCCTATACAATTAGAACAAACATATCTAGTACATGATCTACAAGGTATAAGATTACTGGATTGGTAATGGCATTTGAAACAATGAGGGACAGGAACTGATAATTGATTATTTAAGGACATATCTCTTAATGGATAAGGATCAACAGTGGCTGAATAAGGTTGAGCGGTGCATTGTGAATAAGTAGTAACGGTCGCTGCTGGCGGATAAGGATGAAGTATACTAGCTTGCGTTGTTGTACGAGGAAAATTGGAATGCCCTACAAAAAATTTAGTGTTATGCAGATTCAGTACAATTTGTATTTTAAAATTAACGACTAACCTGGTACGTTATTCCATGCATCAGATGAGGCAAACGAGAATTGTATTTCATTGTGTGATGGTTGTCGTATGTTTACTAATGACGTGTACGTCGTTGTAATAGGGTCAGTAGTTATTACTGCAGTAAGTGTGGAAGAAGTTGATGTGGCTGTGGCTGATGTAATTAGACTTTCAGCGGCAGTAAATGTTAATGGAGTATCCGTAACTGTCATTAGATCTGAAATATAGACAACAAAGTAGAATTTAAAGTCTCAAATTTCTGCTAAAAAACATACCATCAGCAACGGATACTTGTGTCTTTGTCTTTCTTCTTCTATTAACAGAACGTTTTGGCGTTGACGATACTGGGGTTGATATTACTTTCGTTGATTTTGCTTTGGCGCTTTTAAGTTCTTCTTTCTCCTTCATTTGTTTATAAACTTGCTCGCCTGTTAATAGCTGACCAAATTGCCTATCTAAAACCATTCTTTTTGCTACCGGTTGTTCGATAATAGGTGGTCGCATGGTGCGGAGAGCATTTCGGATGGCAGTTGTTGGGCTTAATGATGGAGACGGTTGAGACACAAATACAATCGCACTAGCTGATGCAGGTGGTTTTGATAAATCTATCGGGACATCGGCTGTAAATGTAAATGAAAATCGATGTCAAATAAAGTTTTGGCAACTGTTAGCTGTAAGACTTACATTCCTGATCCCATTCACTGGTGTTCAGTGCTGGTAGAGAATCGTAGGAATGATCATTCCGCGAAGCTACAAATAGAAAAAAAAATTGAATAATTTGAACTTAAAATA